ATTTTATCATGCATCAATGCGTTGTCATGATTCTGGTTTATATGTTGCCTATTTAAAAATGCAAAATAGTGTTGATTCAATACGTGTTATGGTTAATAAATATATGCCCGGTTCATTACCATGTACAAAAATTCGTTCTATAGCTAATGTATCTAGGTAAACTATTATTTATATTGTTTATTAGAAAATTTTTTTTTTAAAATATTTATAGAGAAGAATGGGAATGGTTACATAAAAGTAATAAGGAAAATTCAGTAGAAGATGAATCTCCAGATAATAGTCTTGATTTATTTAAAATTCAATTTTGTAATGCAGCTAAAGAATTATTTATTATGCTTGGTAAGATTTTGAAAAAGAATCAAACAAAAAAAAAATATTATAAAATAATAAATTTATTTAGATCTTCCTGAAACACATTTTTCAAATAGTCGAATATATAGTTCACAAGTTGTTGAAATTCGTGATGATTTATCATTAATTATTTTAATGTCAACAGCTGATGAAGTTAATTTTCTTTCTAAACCATCAAATCATTCTCTTACATCATTTATTTATTTACCTATATATATATTTGAAGTTTGTAAGTATTCATTTAACTACAGAGAAAAGCATATTATTAAATTTGTTTATCAAACTTCATTGTAAAGTTAGAACAAATCGAAAATCGTACAAATATTATAAATGATATTTTGATGTATAGAAAACTGCATTCTCAAAAACTTTTTTCAAACGATTTCTCTTAATGTATTTTTTTTCTATCGCAAATAACAATCCTAAACGATGAACTTTGTCAATATAAGGATCGCATAATCATCTAGACGTTCTAACAAGCTTCAAGTACAAAAAAATTAAAATTTTGAGCATAATTCAAGATCCAGTGATCCTATTTTGAGATGAAATCTCAGTAAAATGATAATATCTGCGGAAGAACATTTGAAATATTTTTATTCTGATTAAGATCTAGTTCTACTTGTCGACTCTCTCTCTTGAACTCTATTTTAACATTCAATACTATCTCATATTTTTAAATTTTCATTTTAGTCCAACACTTAAGTAATAATTATCGTTTTATATGTCAATATAGTCGTGTATCAATCTGTCTTGATTTTGAATTGATATATGCTCAACAAAATCAACGTGAAGCATTTTCAATAAATGAATTAGATGAAACACGTTATCGTCTTAATCATTTATTATCATGTCAACAAGATCTTGATGATATATGGCGTTCAACACGTTGGCTTGTTCATGTTATAAATTGTGCTAAAGATAAAACATATTCTGGTATATCACTTAAACCATTTCAATCATCAACAAATTTAAATGAAATAAAAATTGATCAATCATCATCTTTAATATCTTCATTTAATTCAAATAATTATTTAATAAAGAAAAAAATAAATAATTTTATTGATATTGAAGATCATATAATTGAATTAACATTTTATAGATCATTAGTAACACCAAATACATATATTCCATTAAAATTACGTATAAATAAAATGACACGATTAAATGAAATTTTAAAACTTATTTTAAAACAACAACAAAAAGATACTTTTTTAAAATCAAATTCATCATTAAATTTTGTTTGGATACGTTCAAATGAATGTGAATATATTATTGAAGAAAATTTAACAGCATATGAACTTCAAACACGTCTTTTACGTTTTGGTGGACAAGTTCATATACGTACAAATAGTTCATCATCATCAACTTCATCACCAATGATTCATAAAACATCAAGTTTATTTCCACCTACATCAGAAATTATGTCGAAAGGACCTGGATCAAGTTTAAGTTTGAACATTTAAAAACAAATATTTGTTTTCTTTTTCTTTTTCTTTTTTTATTTAAAATATCAATAAATGTTATGTGATATCATTTGAAGTGAACAAGTTGCTAAGAATTTAAGAACATGTCTGTGAGATTTTCGTTCATATGTCTAAAAGAAAAATGAACAATGAGTATATTTCTTATTTTAAATTGAAATATGTATTACATTATTATTCTATACAAGACTGATTAAATATTTTCATATTTGTATCAGAATGTATTTCTGATTGATATTTATTTGTGTAATTGACAAAGATTCAAAAGAGATCGAAATATCATTTTTTGTCAGCAAAAGAGAATCAGATGAATGAGTCAATGTAAAACATATAAGTTAATTCAACTTTGCACTGTTAATAAACAGCGAGTATGATGAATGAAGAAACCGATATTTTTCGTATTATTTCAGAGTCAGGACTAACTTGACCAAAAGGTATTGAGAGTGTGACATCTTCCAATCATGAGAAGTTTTTACTTTTTCCTAGCCGAGCCGAAAGTTTTCTTGCGTTTTCTTAGAAAAAAAAATGCTTACACTCTTGAGAAAAAATCGCAATATCGCTTCCCCCAACAATGTTGGCTGCTATGAGTCAATTCTGTTTCGAGTTTATGTAACAGTGCAGGTTTTGAAAGTCAAATTCATTGCTGATAATGTCTTCTGATTGATTTTGTCTGTTTATGGTTTCATAACGATTATTTTTTTGAAAATAGAGATTTGTTATTATCATTTATAAAAGATGAAAATCATTATTTTTGCTCAGAAATTTTTATCAATTCTTAGCATTTTATGAAAAAACATATGAATATACAAAATCACAAGAATTTATTGAATTCTAGTGAAATTTCTATTTCGCAGTCTGTTCAGAACCTTTATATTTCGGTAATTTAAAACTTCATGGAATGAGATAAAATTTTGCATATTTATTTTGATAAAAAAATTATTTTAATGATGTTCGATCGTACGGCAAGGAACCAACAGAAAGCGTTGACAGTTTAAATTACTTACATATATCGTTATTATACGTATTCTTTATATTAATATCGAGGCTATTCTAATCGATGTTGCAAAAATTCTACATTAGAGTTTTGTTTTCAGTATAGCATGACAACAACAACTTGTCGTGGAGGCTTGATAGTTTTCTTGTTAGAAAGAATAAAGTCTCTACTACAAAGCTATGTAAAAATATTTCGTTCAGATACTTACCGAAGGTTGAAAACTTTTAAAAACACCTTTAAAATTAGTAATGAGAAGTGTATTTGATCGATTTATCTGGCATTCGGCTTTCGAAATTTTTAGGCACATTATGCATGAGTGTAGTCAATGCGACGTAGCCTTTCTAGTGACATTATTATATCCGAGTTACAAAACCAGAAACTCCATAGAAAATAGTTTTATTAAAAACTTGATTTACCTTTGACAACGTTTAATGAAGTTTTTCTCATGATGTCTAATAGGTTCTGACTATTCTTTCGAAAAAATCAAATAAAAAGAAAATATATTCTGTTACTCAATCATTAATATTGCGTCAAATTAATTTGAATAATTTATCAAAAGGTTGAGCAAAAATCTATGGAATTTCTTTTGCTTTTTTTAATTTTGTGATATGTTTATTATGGATTATATATTCGTATGCAAAAGAGATAAAAATCTATGTTCATTTTTGAATTTGATTATTTCACTAGTTTTTTTTTTTTATAAAAAAATTGAATTATTGTCATTTATTATTGATACAATCTATTCGTTATGAGTTTACTATACTAATTCAATTATTGATAAAATCAAAGATTAAACAATGAAAAAACATTGATGACTAATATTAAAATGAGATTAATAGTTATACAGTTGTAATAAGAATGAAATAAAGAATGGTAAACTGAGACCCATTACACGGATCTTTTTGAATATATATATATATTGAAGACCAGTCTCAAGTGATAACGCGGGCAATGTTCATTTTCCTCAATCATTCTATGCATTTATGAATTTTTCATTTCATTATGTTTGTACAAAGTGATAACTGTGGTTATCAATTAATTGTCATGATAACGTTCGAATTTTTAAAAAAGAGATGACTTCTAAAAATATGTGTTCGCTAATAATCTATTGTATTCATTCATAAAAAACTGAAATTAAAAATCAAATATTGAATAAGAAAACATAAATTCAATAGAACTCTGGAAAATTCTCCTGTCATTTACAGTATGTACAAAGGTTTACTCTTAATGTAATAGGTGATAAAATGAAAAGTTTGTTAGTCAACAGTACTTTGATAATTAATACTCAAACTTCATTATAATAGTTCGACTGAGCATCTCGGTATACTAACGCATGCAATGTGTTTTGCTTGAAACAGGATCGATACTGCATTATTTTCTCAGTATTAATGTCTGCAAAAAGAAAACAATTTGCCTTCTTCTTCCTCAGAGAAAAGTCATCGATTTTTTTCTCATCAAAAAAACATAAATATGACTGATTGTATCCATAGCTTTTATTTTACCTTGTCAATCGAAAAATGTAATTTTTTTTTTTTTTTGAATTTCGATTGTTTCAGATTTTTTGTTGTCAGACATAAACACTCATCAGAAAAATAATACGAAAGAAAAATAGAAGAATCTCTAACGAAAGATACTGTATTTGTTTGAGATCATGTTCTATCAATTCAATAATGTATTTTATAAGAATGAAATAGAAATATACTCATATAGTTGAGGTTCTCTTTTGCTGCAAATTCTTTGTTTTGTATTTTTCAGTTAATTGATGATACTTGTTTGATTTTTTCTTTAGTATCATCGATAGGATCCCACTCAGACGAAATCAAATTTTTATTTATTTTTCTTTAAGTTCGATACCATAATCATTTTATTTTGAATATAGTGAAAATGATTTTTTTAGTAACAGATGTGTCTTTATAAAACTTATTTTTTTATTATGTTGGAGCAAGATATAACTAATTATGATAGCTAGACAGAAGATCTCTTTTCTTATTGCAGTCTCACTTTTTTGCCATCTATTCTTCGCAGAAAAAAAGGGTATATCATAAAACGAAACAAAAAAATTCCTATTTTAATAAATTATTCATTGTATCTGATTAAATCATTTGTAGATATATGAAATAATCCACATTTAAAAAGTCATATTATCTTATTATTCAATATTTAAGGAAAGGACAATGTTAGCTGACGAACTTAGTATCAAAGAATCAAATGAACTTTTGTCAGCGGCAGATAGAATGCGTGAAATGAGGATACCTTTACCTGGAATTGTAGTAGTTGGTGATCAATCAGTCGATAAATCATCTGTACTTGAAGCTATTTCTGGAATTCAATTACCTCGTGCACAAAATATTTGTACACGATGTCTATTAGAATTACGAATGAAATCAACAACAGATACTGAATATGCTATCATTCGTAGTAGTAAATGCTCGGAAGATGAAGCTACAACTTTAGATGATATGAATGAGATAAGTAGTGCAGTTACTCGTCTGATTGGAGAGATTGCTGATGAAGAAACAAATGTAAGATCAACATCGATCTATTTGATAATGTATAAACGTAATATACCATATGATTTAACACTTATTGATTTACCCTGTATTACTCGAAAACCATTTCCTGGCCAAGCAAAAGATATTCATGAACACATTTTGCATTTGATTAATAAATATATAGAACCACCAACAGCTGTAAGATTTTTCATTTTAAGTTGAATCGTTTTAAGATTTCTAAAAGTATTTAGGTTGTTTTGCATGTAATTCCATCTTCTATTGATTTTACAACATCAGAATCGATGAGATTAGCTAAGGAATTTGATCCACAATGTCTTCAACAATTAATCGCTGCTTCAATAATTGATAAATATGATAAAGGATACTATTTCACTGTTATTTTCAAATAATGTGACCTGTGAGTTTCCTAAAGACGAAATTTGACGAAAATTAGTTTTGACGCTGAAACATATTCTTTGATGTGTCGCTTTTTGTATTGACTCTGAAAGTTATATTTATTTCTTTTGGAACTGAAGCTATGATCGTGAAAATCTCTGAACATGAACCTTTTTGTTATGACTTTTTTTGCTATGAAATCGAAAAATAAATACGAATAAATTTTCTGAGCTTCAGTAAAAAAAAAACAATGTTTGAAAATATCAAAAACACTTTTTTCACGCTTCGAATTGTCATCACTTCACCTAAGTCATTTCTTAGGCAACTCCACAATTTCTATTCAACAAGAACTAAAAGAGAAATATAAATTCTGTTGAAATTTTGTATTGTTGGCGCAAATAACATACACTATAAATACCTTTAAATTCGAATATCTCAGTTTGTACATGTTATAAGCAGTGCAGAATTAAAATTTGTTAGTTTTCTCGTGAGATTTTTAATTTAACCTAACTATGTGCAATGTTGTTAAGTTATAATATGCTTTCTTCCATTGTAAATTAATATTTGATACATCCGATTTTAGAAACGATTTCCTTTCGAGTTGTTTGATGATAACAAATTTTTTATTTTAGCAAATCTTTTAAATTGTTTTCAAACTTCTTCTAATTCAGATCTTCACGAATAGTTTAGTAAACTTTTTAATAAACTAAAAAATAATAATAATCTAAAAAAATCCATCGATCATAGCTTCTTATCCTTTCAATTGGTATTAATAATATCGTTGTGATCGTCTTGATCTAAGATATTGATTACTATTAAATATTGGTATTGTTGTTGTTCTAAGCGTTCTACTAACAGTTTGACTTAAGAAGCTACCTATGTCATCAGGTAATGGTTGTATAAGTTCAAAAAAATACGAATTAATTTGTGCACCCAAAATAAGAATAAATGAAAAGTAATAAAAAAATGTTATTAAAATAACAGCAAAGCCAATAAGACCAAGAAATGAATCCATAAATCTTCGAATATATAATGGAAATAAAACAATAAATATATCAAGTAGAAATGATGCAATTAATGCACCAAGCCAAATATGTTTTAATTTCATTTTTTTATTTGGTATAATTAAATAAATAAATATAAATAAAATAAAGGCAAAAACAATTGATACAAATATTCCAGCAACAAATATTCCAAATTGTGTATCATTTTTATTTGGTAATGCATTTATTACAAATGATGGTATACTACTTGCAACAAACATAGTTATAACAAGAAATATAAATAAAATAAGCATAACAATAGATAACAAATTTTGATAAATAAATGAACGACTTGTTGTACGATAAATTATTGTAAATACATCATCAATAGCAACAAATAAACGAGATCCATCCCATATTGACAATATAATACCTATTGCTAGAATTCCACCTGCATCATTTGCAAGATTGTTAGCAGCTATTTCAGTTACCTTAAATTATTTATAATATTTTTGAAAAAAATTTTATAGCTTGTATTTTGCTATACCTCTCGAACAGCTGTTTTTGTATGATTATCTTTTAATGAATCGATAATTGAATCAATAATTGTTTGTTTAGCTCTAGGATTATCACTTAAAACAAGTCCAAATATTCCAAAAGCTGTTACAGCTATTGGTAAAAGAGATATAATGAAAGTATAAGCAAGTAATGCAGCAAAACTCAATGACCAGTCATTAAGAAATTTTTTAATAAAACCCAAAGCAGATCGACGAGGAGGTGTTGTTTGACCAAAACCAATACCTCGTTGAATTGGCCTCCAAAAAGAATTTAACATTTTTTGATTTTGATCAAACATTTGCTTAATTACTTCTACAAGAAAGACAAGTATCTATCGTGTTGCTATTTCCACCCACTATAGAAAATAAAAAGAAAAAAAAGTCATTAGATCTTAGTCATATGGTGTCTTCTTTTTTTTTTTTACCTATACTGCTTTATATGAAATATTCAGAATCATTACGCTTGAAAAATGACGAAGGTCTCCTTATGAAGTAACCAACAAGAAACGGAACTACACTTCACATATGTACACTGCCCCAATGAATCAGATAATGTTCACATAAAGATTTCTCTTTCTTTCGTTAGATCAAATGATAAAAATTTTATGATGCATAACATATATTCTAGAAAATAATTTTTTTTTTATAACATCATATAGAAAATCTAGGAATACTGGAACATATGATTAGCCAATTATGCCACGATTTATATATATTAATTAGTAAATCAAATAAATAATCATCTGATAAGACAATAAGAAACAGAAAACATCGTTCTGCTCATAAATATGATGAGGTCGATGGTAGACATTCATATTTGATGCCTATAAAAATGATTGATTAGATCGATTACGTCTAACTTACTTCTTTTTTTTTCATTACCTCAATCATAAGTTAGAAAATTGTTAAACTCTGATGATTGATTCATACTGTATGAACTTTATATTTTCCTCGATATTATCATATATAATTAATCTTTTGTATGACATGAAATTTTTCTAATTTGATAATATGTTACTTTTATGATCATGTTCATTGAAACTCATATCTATACCAATATCCAAGAAAAGTTATTGAAAATAATTTCATAAAAACAAAAAACAAAACTACAGTATAAAAAAAGAACAAAAACTTGTCAGTGCAGTTTCATAAAGCAGCAAAGTTTGGAACTCATAAACTCTGACTGTTATAAAGTTATGATATATTATCAGAAAAGTTAAAATAATTTAATTGAAAAAATGTCGAATAACAGAATTAATCAAAATTATATATTGTTTTTTTACAGTTGATGCGAAGACTATGAATATTATCATTTCGAAAATATTTGCATGTAAATAAAATTTCTTTTCTACCAATTTTTTAGATCGTTATACTAAAACAAAATATCTTTGTATTGGCAGATGTATCTTCAAGAAGTTTTTTGTTCCTAATAATAATATATCCGATACATGTCATAGGAAGCAGTAAATATCATTTGATCCTCCGTTTCATCAATTCAATTAATATATTAGTCTGCTATACACATCGATGTAATTGTTCAGCATGTCTCCGAATAGATCATTTTTTTTGTTTCTACAAACTTTGACATAAAATGCTGAGTTTTAACACGAGGACTTGAAGAAATGTAATAAAATGAATAAATTGCCTGAATATTTATATATATTACGAGAATAAATTTGGAATTAATTATTCAATATAAAAACATTTAAAAAAAAAGCTAATCTTATTGCATTAAAAATAGTTTTAGAGATGTAGAATCTATTGTTAAATTGAAAAATTTTTCTTCGTTGAAGAAAAAGATTACAAATGCCTCATAATACATGACTCAATTCTATTTTCAATCTTTGAAGCATTCAACAACGTTTTTTAATTTTGGTTTTCATTCCAGTAAATAGAGAATGTTGTTTGTGGAATAATTTTTTTGTGTCAGAGCAAAGTTGGCAAAATTAACATCTACTCCATCATTCAAATATCTTAATCGAGGAAATCTTAGTAACCGATAGCACTTCTCAAGGTACTTATTAAATAAGAAATACGCATGCAAGTGTTAATCGTTATATATATAAAACATGAAAATTTTGTTTGTGTTTTAACTTGGTTTTTCTCTATAACTATGATATTATATAGCAAGAGAGTGATAGCATCTTCTATCATCACAGCCCACCAGGTGGTTTTTTTAGGCTGACTCGGAGAGATTCTTTCTGCTTGTTATGGAGAAAATAATGTGGTACTCGAAATGGTCTATTACAAGCATATGGTCTCTGCTGTTGTTATACTTGTCATACCTATGTTCATTGATCCACCGATCTGGCTTGACTCACTTTACATGTACCTATTCTGGGCAAAGAGGGAAGAATCTTCCTTAGTCAAGCACTATAATGAGCTGAGAAAAGCCAGCAGGGAAAAATAGCAATGAAAATAAATTTATTGAACAAGCTGAAGAGAAAAAATTTACAACTACTTTCAAGTTTGTTCAGATGTTTCTTGATAGTTCAATAGATGAGAATGATTTGAAGGTGATTTCTCTTGAGCTATTTTTACCGCTTGTTGAATATTTTTCGTTGCCATACCATATTATCGTGTAGCCAAATATGATTTCACCAAATTATGATAGATGCCAGCTAAATCAGAATGATTCCATGGTAATTTGTGTTTATAAATTTGGAATTCTTTTTCAAAATATGCCATTGCCGTTGAATAACCTTTCATGTTTCGATAAGTTTCATCTTTATTTTTATATGTCGTTGCACCCATCGAGAGGATTATTCTGAATATTCTCTTAAATACTTAATGTTTGTCAATGAAATGAAAGTGTCCTTTCATAATTTTCTATCATTTAATGCATAACACCAATGTTACTGTATGTAATAGTCTGATAGGGATGTCCATCGGGTAACTTTTTTTGATCTATACAAAACAATCAAGTGCTTTTGTGTAATCTTTCATTCTGCGATAGACTCTTCCTAACATACTACATAAAGTACCCAATCAGAGGTGATTCCGAGTTAGAGCCCTTCCGTAGATGTTCTGTGAGTTTCCGTAAAATTCAATTGTTTCCAAGCAGCCATCCATATCCATATACAGCTTACCGATGTTGACCTAGAAATTAGTCACTTCGGAATCATTCAAAAGCAAGACCTCTTCGTATATTTGAAATGCTTTTTCATAAAACTCAAGTGCTTTCGAATAGTCACCTATAGTCTTATACACTTGGCCGATGTTGTCGTAGGAAATACCCAATGAGAGATGATTCGAAGGCAGAGTATTTTCGTTGATTTCTAGTGATTCTTTATAAAATTCAAGTGCTTTTGAGTAGTCACCCATAGCCTTATACACTTGGCCGATGTTGCTGTATATATTAGCCAATGAAGGATTATCTATTGGAAGAGTTTTTCGGTTGATTTCGATGAATTTTTCATAAAACGAAGCTGCTTCTTTGTATTCTTCTTGTTTCTGTTTTATCCATCCTAGATG